AAAAAGTGCAAACTTGACGGGGTGTGTTACCTCTTTGTAAAGTCAACCTACCATGTTTGTGGCATTGCTTTGTTTATGTCAATTTTGTTTTCGGTAGGCGCTTGAACCCGAAGGCGGGCTGAAAATCGATGAGAGTGGTGCTGGTGGTGTCTGTGACTCCATGGATGTTGACGAAAAAGTAAGGAAATGCTTTTTTATGTTATTCACATTGCCTGTCCACTCTTGTTGCTACAGAAATTAATGGAGGTGGGGATGATAACGATGCGGAAGTACTCACGTAGGAGTGCGCCTTTGAATCCGATAGGACCAAGATATTTACGTTTCATCTTTCGAGCATGTCATGCTCGAGGCGGTGCAACGGAGTGTTATTTAACCTTTTGAATTCGCCGTGTGGTGAACTAGTTTTAGAAACTCGGAATTGTATACCGAGACAAGAGTGACTAGGTGGCCTAAGAACTTTAAACTCAAAGTAACAACTACTACTTTTTTCCAGAAATTGTATTTTATGAGGTGGAAGTGGCCGAATAGGTCCATGCCATTAATGTTAAAGTACCTTAGTTGCTACATGAATGTCAAAGGTTCACCCCCTAATCCGTTGATATGAATGCTAAAAACGTTGAGATTTTTGACTTGAGTATTGAAAATACCATCAGTGCATTATTTTAACTTGGCGCAAGGATTCGTTTTCCGAAGTATTTCCTTAGTCCCGTTATCACATGTCTTGATTTAGTCTTTGAAATGAATTTAACCGCTCAGTACGACTTTGTTTTGCCCCTGTAGTCTAAGGTGGAAGCGATGGAGGTGGATACAATTAATGAGAGTACCGTGAAATCAGAGACAGACGTGGAAAGTAGGCGACACCATCGGCGTTCTTCCTTCATGTTTAACATCGCAGATGGCGGTTTCACCGAACTGCACACAATATGGTTGAATGAGCAGCGAGCACTGGAGGAGAACACGGAGGGCTACGAGATTTGGCATCGCAAACACGACTACTGGCTCCTGGCCGGTGTGGTTCAGCATGGTTATGGACGTTGGCAGGTTGTTGCTTTCCATTGCTACTATGATTCCTTTAGGCGTTTATGAAGCGTTGAAAGGTGGAATAAATTTAGTATTAATGTATAGAAGGAGCATTAGACAGGAAACAGAATCCTTCAATAGTTCACGTGACAAATTTCATTCTGGTATTTAGCCTTTGTCCTCAGAGCTCCCTTGACCATTCCTCCACTTCGGGTGTTGTGACCTCGGAAGATGCAATCTATCAGAAGGCAGGAGATGGTCACTGAGAGCCAAAGTATCGTACGGTTGCATCGGAGGGGCAGAATACACTTGGATAGCTATGTTCTTGAGAGGCCGGTATTCCGTAGCTAGCCCTTTATATGAATTAGCAACATTTCTAGTTAGTTCCACGTCTGGAAGTAGCTTTGCTCTTGATATAAGAAGCTTGGAGGACCATAGCTGAAATTACTACAACCGTTCGATATTTCAAATCACCTCATCAAAAATTTCAAATATCATCATTGTTCTTTGGTTCTTGCGATAGAGGTAATTATTTCTACCTTTTTTCAAATCTATATAGGACATCCACAATGACCCACGGTTCGCTTTGGTGAACGAACCCTTCCGTGGGGATCAGACGAAGCCCAATTACTTAGAGATGAAAAATCGCTTCCTTGCACGGCGGTTTAAATTACTGGAGCAGGCGCTGATTATTGAGGAGCAGTTGCGGCGCGCAGCTCACCAAAATATCGTTTGCGATCCCAAGGACACTGTCCAGAGTCTCAACCGGCGTTTCAATGAACTGGAATGTCTGGCGGTGGCGCAGCAACAGGTCTATGCGGAGGCATTGGCTGGCAACAAGTCTCTTGTCCAGTTGATTCATCGTGGTAGGCGCTGGTATACTTGAGGGAACGCACTAGGCCTAGTTCGAGTCCTATCTATGTGTATATAGTGCATTTTTGAGCCTACCTTTGGCATATAAGTAGGTATTTTTCCGTCTTAGCTTTGACAATGATGGAGGACTACTTGGCAGAAATGAAACAGGATGTCTCCCGCCTTCTCACTCTCGTTCCGCGGATGCCTCCAGTATCGGATAGGCTAAATCTCAGTCATACAGGCCTTCTCACCAAACTGACACAACACCTTACCGCCGCCAAGCAGGCCAAATTGGCACTGCTGCAGCAGCAGCAACAGCAGCAACAACAGACGATCAGTAATCCAGCCACTCCAGTAGACTCTGCTGCTAGTGGGGTGGAAGAGAAGACTTGAGACCCTACTCCTCCGTATTCTTTCCTCTCCTTTTCTTGGGTGTGTGTTTATACGTTTGTCTGCCTGTCTCCTGTCCCTTACTGCCCTCTTGTATGCTTGCGTCCCACCCTTATCATTTTTGTTTGAGTGCTAGCATTCTTTCTATACCTGCACTGTTATACATATTATATACATATATATGCATCATTTAGCATGAAATTGAGGTTTGTCTTGATACAACGTCCTGCAGGGGGAGTGGGGACGCGTTTGGGACACCACGATGTGTTATCTGTTTCGCGCCTTTTTCTTCTGTTTTCGCCGTGGGTGTCTTGATTTGATGGACCAGTATTTGACTTTTGGTTTTGCTATGATGATCTTCCCTCTCATCATCATTATTAGCTAGTCAATTCCGGTGTATTTCATTCATTTGACACTACTAAAAATAGATTGATGGCTTCTGGCGCCCGAGACTTCACCGCACCGGGCTTGAGAGCAATCGATATTTGATGCCCGCTTCCTAGTCCAAAAGCGC